GAAATTGCAGATCACTTTTAATTATTTGAGATTCAGGTAAGACCCTATTTTGAAAACAAAGTAAGCAGACTCCTTCATTTTCATAGAGCTCCACTGAAGTCACTAGGACTCTATGTACATAGAAATCCATCTGCACAGTATCCAGTGCAGAACTGGAATGCAAAAATGGAGAAAGGAACACCAATTCCATTTCACTAGAAGTATCAGAATTTGTGGTGTTCCTCACTGAAAGAAAACAAAATGTTTTAAAAGTTTTCATAAAGTGAAATTGTGTCCAGAAGGTCAGATATTCACTTATGGTTACACTCTGTTTGTCTAGTCTACACTGAACCTCAAAGATCAGCCAAAAAGTCTTCATATTTTATGCATTTCAACAAAACATTTCAACTTCCATGAAGCTGCTTAAAAAAAAAAAGTTCCAGCCAGCTCTGATCAAAGGCTGCAGTTGTTCCAGGAGGAGTGAAAAGACAGGTATCCTGAAAACCATGCCAATTTAAAACCAACACTTCAGTTAGATGTTGGTGACCAGGGTGGATGGCTGGAGACCCTCTGGGTTAAAATCCGTGGGGAACACAGCACAGGGGACACAATGGTGGGAGTCTATTACAGACCTCCCACTCAAAGTCCTGAGCTTGACCAGGAGTTTCCCCAGGAACTGGCTGAGGCAGCTTGCTCCAGGACCATGGTTGTCATGGGTGACTTCAATTACCCGGACATCTCATGGGAGGATCGCTCAGCAAAATCTGAGCGGTCGCAGAGCTTCCTCCCATGCGTGGATGACCTCTACCTGACTCAAGAAGTCTATGGGCCAACGAGAGGCAAAGCGCTGCTCGACCTGGTACTGGCTACTGGGGATGACCTAGTCGGCGACCTAGTGATCGATGGGAAGCTGGGTGACAGCGACCACGAGCTGATCGCCTTCACCATCCGCCGAAAAGCTGGCAAGTCGGTCAGCAATGCGCAAGTCTTTGACTTCAGGAAAGCCGACTTTGACAAGCTCAGGAGGCTTGTCAGTGAAGCCCTAAGGGACCATGACCACAGGGAGAGGGGAGTTCAAGAGGAGTGGTTGCTCCTCAAGGGAGCGATCCTCAATGCACAAACTAAGTCTATTCCATCTCGGAGGAAAGGCAGCAAGAGGGCACAGCAGCCCCCCTGGCTCTCCAGGGACCTAGCAGACCTCCTGAGGCTAAAAAGAAAGGCCTACAAAGGGTGGAGGATGGGAGTCACCTCCAAGGAGGATTATTCTGCACTGGTCCGGTCCTGTAGGGAGCAGACCAGGAAAGCCAAGGCTGCAACTGAACTCCAGCTAGCTTTGAGCATCAAGGACAATAAGAAGTCCTTTTTCAGATATGTGGGGAGCCGGAGGAAAAGCAGGGGCAACATTGGACCCCTGCT